TAACATCGACTTGATCTTAGTTACTTTATTCTTGACTCATGGTTTCGTCCTGATCGTTTTTACTTATTGGTTTGACTCACACAAAATGAGTGTTTAAGTTTTTACATCATCTCTATTTGACAGGAACATGCAAAGAGAGACACTTATAGACACTTATATGTGTCTAGGGTCGATAGGGTTATTTTTATTAGTATTATTATATTATATTATTATTATTTTATTATATTATTATATTGTATTAGAGTATAATATATTAATATAACAATATATTATTATTATTATTATAATATTGTACATAGTTTATTAGTATTATTATTATTATTATTATTATTATTATTATTATTATTTAAAAAAGAAAATCAAAAAATCAAAAAAGTTTAAAATAAGGAGAACAAAAAAAAAAGGGAAAAAACTGGTGATTTAATATCGGATTCGTTGGAGCATGATTTTTGGTGATTTAATCACGAATACGTTGGAGCGTGATTCTTGGTGATTCAGTTACAGATTTGTTTGGCATAATTCATGCAAATAATCAAGCATATACAGCGGGCAAAGAATAAAAAGAATAAAAAGGGGGAGGAGCCTGAAAAAATCAATACACACCCGAAAGCCAGCATAGATAGCCCCATACACGATACCTAGAAACCTATACCCAGGATTCCATCAGAAAAACAAGCAGAAGAACACTCTCTCCTCACATCTGCCGATTTACCAGCCCCTAAATTCTCAAGTTATTTCTGCAAAAAATTTGCTATGGGTAAGGAGAAGGTTCACATTAACATTGTGGTCATTGGCCATGTTGACTCTGGAAAGTCGACCACAACCGGTCGCTTGATCTACAAGCTTGAAGGCATTGACAAGCGTATGATCGAGAGGTTTGAAAAGGAAGCTGCTGAGATGAACAAAAGATCTTTCAAGTACGCCTGGGTGCTTGATAAGTTGAAGGCATTGACAAGCGTATGATCGAGAGGTTTGAAAAGGAAGCTGCTGAGATGAACAAAAGATCTTTCAAGTACGCCTGGGTGCTTGATAAGTTGAAGGCTGAGCGTGAGCGTGGTATTACCATCGATATTTCCTTGTGGAAGTTCGAGACAACCAAGTTCTACTGCACTATTATTGATGCCCCTGGACATCATGACTTTATCAAGAATATGATTACTGGTACCTCTCAGGCTGACTGTGCTGTCCTTATGATTGACTCAACCACCGGAGGTTTTGAAACTGGTATTTCTAAGGATGGACAAACTCGTGAGCATGCTCTTCTTGCCTTCACTCTTGGTGTCAAGCAAATGATTTGCGGCTGCAACAAGATGGATGCCACAACTCCCAAATACTCATAGGCAAGGTATGATGAAATTGTGAAGGAAGTTTCTTCCTACTTGAAGAAGGTTGGTTACAACCTTGAAAAAATTCCATCCGTCCCCACCTCTGGTTTTGAGGGTGACAACATGATTGAGAGGTCCACCAACCTTGACTGGTACAAGGGTCCCACCCTCCTTGAAGCATTAGACCAGATCAATGAGCCTAAGAGACTATCCGACAAGCCACTCTATCTCCCACTTCAGGATGTCTGCAAGATTGGAGCTACTGGAACTGTTCCAGTGGGTTGTGTTGAAACTGGTATCCTCAAGCCTGGTATGGTGGTTACGTTTGGTCCCTCTGGATTGACCACTGAAGTTAAGTCCGTTGAGATGCACCATGAGGCTCCTCCTGGTGACAATGTTGGCTTCAATGTTAAGAATGTTGCTGTCAAGGATCTCAAGCGAGGATATGTTGCCTCAAACTCCAAGGATGATCCCGCCAAGGAGGCGACCAACTTCACTTCCCAAGTAATTATAATGAACCACCCAGGGCAGATTGGAAATGGGTATGCTCCTGTCCTTGATTGACACACCTCTCACATTGCTATCAAGTTTGTTGAGCTCCTGACCAAGATTGACAGACGATCTGGTAAGGAGCTTAAGAAGGAGCCCAAGTTCTTAAAGAATGGTGATGCTGGTTTTGTCGAGATGATTCCCACCAAACCCATGGTTGTGGAGACCTTCTCTGAATACCCCCCCCACCCGAGCGATTTACCGTGAGGGACATGAGATAGACTGTTGCTGTTGGTGTGATCAAGAGTATGGAGAAAAAGGACCCAACATTTCCCAACAAGAACGTACCTACTTACAAGGCAAATGGTATGGCAGCATATTTGGTGCCATTGGTTACCTATCTTAGTCTTTGGTGGTTTGGGATATTTAACCCCACGGTTGTGTGTGATCGTTTGGGAGAAATATTTTTGGCACTCATTTTTGGAAGCTTTACGGGTCATCTCGGAATCTATTGGGACATGGAACCGTATCCACGAATTGAAAAAAAAAAACCTTTGGCATCAAAGTCTTTGCAACTTGTAGATTTGGGTTAATGTCTTGGGTAGTTCTCGCTGTCACTTATTGCATAAAGCGGGATGAAGTCAATAGAAAAGTTTCTGATTCCCGGCTTGCGAATACAACATTGATGCTGGTGATTGGAACACAATGGATATTGCATATGACCGAGCTGGGTTCTATATTTGTTGGGGATGCTTGGTTCGAGTTCCCTCCGTGCACACGTCACCAAGGATGTATCTTGTCGACCATCCTATGAACCGTGGGACACGGGATGAACTGTTCTGTTGAAGTTTAAAGTTTTTGCATGAACCCAAATAGAATTAGCACGTTAATCTGATCACATGTTTTTTTTTTTTTTTTTTTGGTTTTATTATTTTTTAAGAAATAAAATCATTTGTACCTTTTTTATTTCTAAAAAAAAAAAGTCAAAGGAAAAAATGAAATTTTATTTTAAAAAATAATTCTAATAACAAAAAATCAATAATTCATTATTTGTAACTTATAAAAGTGATCAAAGTTTGGAAAATTCGAAATTAAATTGATATCATTCGTTGTAAGGATGTTACAATTTTTTTCATGTGTAATGGATTCTCAAATTTAGTATTTGTTTTGTATATCAGATTTAATCAGATGATCAATCACATTTAAATAAAAAAAAATTAGTGATGATTTTTTTTATCCATATCTAATAATAGATCCACATATTTATATATTATGACAATATATGCCTGTTAAACAAAAACAACCTAAATTTCAACATTTATCTAAAAAAAACCAAAGACAAAATGAAAGGCGATGAAGGAAAAAAACCTAAATTTCAACATTTATTCGACCCAAACAAATGAGGAATAATGGAGGAAAGAAAACCTAAATTTCAACATTTGTTCAAAAAATAACCAAGAAAAATGACAGTGTTGGAGGAAGAGTAATTTGCTATACCCAGAATATTAATGAGAAAAAAATTCATCATGAAGTTTGAAGTTTGAAGTTTGGAGTAAGAAGTCCACCTTCACTTTGGAGTTTTCAACTTTTTTAGCTTGAGCATGAATCTCGTGATATTACTTTTCATCAAGTAGCTTCAACTCTTTCGGTTTTTAGTCGTCGATGATAGAGCAAAGAATGAGCACGAGTAGCGGCGTTGGAAGACAAGTCATCGTCGGTGGTAGAGCAAGGAACCAATGAGAGTGCTACTGGGTTTGTATCTTGCTATCCTGCGAAAGTGAGAGAGGGAGAGAGAAACGGATTGACTTAAGAGACTTTAGGTTAGGTTTAAGTGTACATACACAAGAGGTAAAATTGTAATGTTATAATTAAAAGAATAAAAATATATTAAAATAAAAATTTTAATTAAATTCGTAAATTAAAATATTTAAATTTAATTTATTTGATAAATTAAATTATTTAAATTTAAATTTAATTTGATAATAATTGAATCAAATTTAAATATTTTTTTAATTAAATTTAAATAACTTACAAATATAAATATATTATTTATATCTCTAACGACTAACGTCAAGGTAAGTTTAAGTTGACGTTGACTTGAATTCATTGCCATCTATAAAAAGAAAGTGTTTACATTATTACACTTTTATTTGACGTCATTTCTTTTTATTTTTTATTTTATTGCTTTTGCTTTTCCCATTTTTATTTATTTAGTTTTAGCTTTATTTTATTTTTTATTATTTATTTTAGTATTTATTTTAATTATATTTAGAAAGATAAACGGTCAATAGAGATATTTGCGTGGAACCCCAATTTTGCTTCTTTATTTTTTTGTCATTTCTTTTATTTATTTATTTATTTTTTTGTTTTTAATTAGATAAATTCAATAAGAAAACAGATTATTGGAAGTAAGAATGGCAAAACAACAAGGATTCGAGGGACTCCAACCTGTTTCGATCCAAAAAAGGTGATTTTTTCTTTTGAAAATTATGATCGAGTCAAAGACTGTGATGTGTTTCTTTTCAAAAAATGGGTTCAATTGATAATTAATGAAAATTTAGATTTCACAAATAAAATTAATCTCATACCATATACCTCTTAAGATATATTAGAAAAATAAAAATTAATTTAAAAAATAAAATAAGTACTAATTAATTGCACCTATAAAATTAAAAAAATTATATTATCAATATATAAAAATTATTTTAAAATTAAATTTTAGTTTGATTAATTCATATGACCACTTTGAAAAAAAGTGTAACAGATTTGAAATTACACTTTTCATGTTTGCTAATTTGTTCTTTAATTTTAAAATAACTTTATTTATTTGTAGAAAAAGAACAAACTCTTTAATTTTAGAATAATTTTATTTATCGGAAGAAATAGTAATAAGTAGTAAGTAGCTTGATTATGTTGGAATCGTACTAAAAATTTTACAAATTTGATTAATACAAGATAACAAAGATTTAGGTTTAGATATATGTATATATTTAAGGATAAATTTATAAATTTATAATTAAAATAATAAGATTAATATAAATAAAAAAAATCGAATGGGCTCATCCGAGTCCCTCCCTCAAACAAGATATTATAATATTTAAATTTAATTTGAATTAAATTTGAAAAATTTTCAAACACTACACGTGTATCGTTCACACACCATTAAATACTAGTATTAGTAATTTTAGTTGAAGAAGAGGTGGTCACGTGAGTTGCCGGACACGGCAGCTGAACCCTCATCCCAGCACGAGTTTTATTACAGAATAACTTGTGCTATAACTAGAAGTAGAAATAGATCATAAGCGGCGGCCACCGCTTCTTTGAGTTTCTGCCATATTAAGACATCCTTCTACTCTCTAACCAACAAGTCTACCTGACTATTTTTTTTTTTTAATGTGATTGATCTTCTTTGCTATATTTCATTAAAAGAAAATGCCACAAGGTTCCCAAAATTTTTCCTCTCTCTCCTGATTATGCTGTTTAAAAGCACGATAACAGTTGTAATAATACTAATAAGAGTTCGTATTTGAGTTTGATGTAGCAGAGCTCCCTGGGTTGTATTACGATGCTGAGAAGAATAGGTACTTCCCCATCAAACCTCGGATACCTGGCTCCTTTTCCCAGTCCCATGCTTCGCAATTTCAAAAGAACCCACTCTCAAGTTCCATCCAGGTAACGCACTCTGATTCTTCTTCGTAATTATCATAAGAAACGCTCTATTGCGGCATGCATTTATCTAGTACTATTTTTAATGCTTTGTTGATGTTTGTCCTCCTAAAGGATTTGGGTTTTCCTTCTTATGGTTGACACAGATGTTTGAAACTCAACTCATGTGGAAAAGATTTTTCTTCCCTAACCCCCAAGCATTAAGGAATGTCGTAACTCATAACAATAGTGATTCCAGTAGGTCCAGTTGAATTCATTTTGTATTTTACTTGTCTATAGAACTGGTTCTGTAACCAATCTGTTGAGACTTTTGAGTTTTTCATTTGGAACACTTTTTATTTAGCCATAATAATAATCCTTCCTTAATTCTCGCGGTTTTTCTTCCTTACCTTTAAATATTACTAGATATAAAACTTCTTGTACCCCTATTTTTGTTGCAGGCAACCAAGTTACGTCCACACACCAGCACTTCCACATCTAGGCTGCTTCATCTTAGAGAGTTGAACAGCGATGCTTTTAATTTTGATCGAGGGAGGTATAGCTTTCAGGAGGAATTCCTCAAGTTACTGGCTTCTAAACCTGTGGTAATTTATTCATTTGCTGATTACCTAAAATTTACAAATTATTTAAGTTAGTCGACTAATTCATCTAACTAAATGGACTCTATTATTTTTTATCCTATTAAGAGTTAGTTTTAGTTGATCAACTAATTCATCTTACTAAATTTATTTTTTATCCTATTGAGAATTTGTTTTAGTTGATCTCGCAGATCAAACCGTTTCTTCTTTTTCCTTTGTGACCCTTGAGAATATGTGTGTGGAATTCTAGAATAATACTCTTCTATATGAATTTATATTGCCTGTAAAATATATATATATATATATTTGCGGCATTAGTCTTAATTATTTAACTTCCTAGAGGATTATTCAGAATTTTGTTCCCCATAAATTTCTTACTGAGCATCACTTAGTTTTCGTTATTTTATTTTACAATGTTCTAGATTTATTTCAGGTCCAGAGATACCGTGGAACAGTTAATATAAGTGATAGTGCTTTGGAACAGACACAAATTGATGTACAGACACCAGAAGGTCAAATTGAAACAGATGTTCTGCTAGCAGGCAGTATAGATGGCTCCTTGAGGTATAAACAGAGTTGCAAATACACATAGATGTGTCTGCATTCTTTTCCAAATACAAGATGACTCCAAAATATCTTTCTATAGTTGTAATATAAATTCTACTATTGTAGATGGGCCGAAAATATGTTAACACTTGAGGCATGAGTTGCTGGCATTTATTTTCTTTATCACATTTACTGGTGGCAAAATACAATTTGCTGAAGTGTGTCATTTGTTATCATATTTTGAGAAACTACCTGTTATTTTGAACGGTGGTGTCAAGTCATCTGGTGATCCCTGGAAGGACTGGATGGTTAGGTGATCTAAACATGCCCAAGTTCTTGCAAATTGCAATGGAGTGTGATAAAAACATGAGGAACGCAATGTATAGCATGGGCTTCCTATTGGTCCTAGGTCTCCTCTTGAATTTCATTGCAACATTGGAACCTCTACACGTCTTTCGCACCTTTTCTTTCTCACAATAAGTGGTCTTCTTCTTGGTGTTGCCGTCTGAATTTTTTTTATCCCCCAATCATTGTATTGGAGCTTTTAGATATTGGGATGCTTTCTTTCTCACATGTGGGCCATTCCCATGCCACTACAACACGCACACACATGAAGGCATTCTTTCTTAGTTACTTTTTTCCATTCTAGTTTATGTTACATTGTATTTTCAAGGCTTATATTCGTCTCACCAATTTGTTATCATCTTCTACCTGTTTTTGTGGCATAACTATAGCTTCTTTCAATGGCATTGCAAGGCAACATATATATCATCCTTTTTATTTGAAGTTTTCTATCTGTGTTGGTACTTCATAAATATATGGATATTGTTTACCTATTGCTTTTGAAGTTCAATGTTCTTGCAGTTTCTTAAAGGTTGGAAAGTTTGGACAACATTTTGACTATGGGGTAACATACATTCCAGATCATGTTTGGCCTTCCACCAAGGTGGAAGCAGAAAGTAATAAAACACCTATGTGTATGTGGAGGTCCCCAGCTGCTTCACTTCGTATTTCATCAAGAATTTCTTGTATAAGATTGTCTGAAAATCAATCTTTTTTTACTAACAATGATGATTCTAAGGTCCAACATGCACTGTATCCTTCATTGATTGCTTATTTTGACAAACTCTTTAACACTTGGCTTCTCTTAGAATCATTTATTTAATTTATGTGATGGCAACACTTAAATGTTCCTTGCAGCTGAGTAGGTTAAGTTATATTATTCAAGTCCATTTATTGGATGGGAAAAAAGAAATATATATTTTTTATTCTGGTTGTTGATTAGATTTATATCTCTGGGATATGCTGACAACGGTTTTGGTCCCCTGCATTTAATCTGCTTTAGAAAGGCTGTGGTCCAAACTGCATGATCAATCTGTGAATTGACCCTTTTCCCTATAACTGAAGACATTAATTCCTGAAATATACAAATCTTGGCTGTGATCTAGATGGCCTAGATTTTAGCATCTTTTATGAAGCATTGCCCACTGGAATCTCACTTTGCCTAATGAACGTGCTACCTAAGTCATGGTTTACATATTGTAATATGCTGTAGTCTCGACTGCTGCTATAAACTCCTTAAATTTTATATGTATTACGTTTGCATATTAAGAAGAGATTTGGTCTTGCACTTGCAATATCTTAACATAAGAAAACAGGATGTCTACACTGGGTTCTGAGACTTCTGGGGGATATATTTATATCCTTAATCTCAAGGGACCAGTAGACTTAACTTCTAGATTGGATCAAAGGTTACATGCAGTTGCTTCTTTTAATTATACCATTTGGACTGCAGATTATAATTCTCATACAAGTCAAGCAGTGATTGGCAAGTTTTTCTTTCCCTTTCATTTCTTTTAAGTTTTTGATCTTGTTAAGTTATACTTAATTTAGCTTTGATGTTGTGTTTTATTTGTAGCATGGAATTAGATAGCTTTCCTAGAATTTCTGATATCTCATTTCCTCTATTATGCCATTGTCCTCTGGATGGAATCATAAGCCTTTCTTCTTAGTTTTTAGCGTGATTAGTAATGCAAGGTCCTTTGCCATCCATGTCTTCCTTGGTTTACTTTAGAGACATTGAAATAAAATATTTCCCTGCTCAGTTTAGTTCGCAGGTACACGGTATTAGACTTAAATTTTTATCCACTTGGCTAAGGTCTGATACTTTGATCATTGGTTTATCTTGTGCTACATTTTTTCTGCTTTTCTTCAATCAAAAACTGCAATTAATTGGGCATTGTCATGATTAATTAGGTTGATGTAAAATATTTGTTGCTGTTTGGTATTTGAACAATTGTCATAACCTCTCCCTGACAGGATAGATAAATAAACAAGAGGGTACTAATCTTTACATGCTATTATCTTTATATGCTTGTTTTGATTGTTGTAGGAACCAATCTTGGAGCTGCTTTGGTCGATGTGGAAAGAGGAACATCAACATGGGTGTGTCGTAGTAAAAGTGATATTTTGGCACAACAATTTGATCGGACGGTAAGTATTATATCCTTCAAGGTTTTGGCCAATGATCTAAAATGCCTCTTTACTTTAATCA